AATATTATTGAACCAATTTTTTGTTTGCCAGTTTAATATTTAGTAGTTTTTTATTTAATATGTTTATGATAATAGTGAATAGATAACAATTGCATATCCAAAATTGTCTATTTCTCTACAAACTGCACAGCTTTTTTTTATAACAAGTTTTATTAATTTTTCAATTTTACATCCAAGTATTTAGGAAGCAGCGTGGTGATAGGGTAATCAATAGTCCAATAACAAAATCTTTCGTACATATCTCAGGTTGTGTCATTAAAAGTTCCATCTCTATTTCCCTTAATTATTGTATCACATTCAAGTTAATACATTTTTAATTATAGCTCAGTCATTCAATACATTTGTCAATATAATTTTACTTATACATATCCAAGTCCTGTTTTTAAGTTTTACCTAATTCCAATTACCGTGTTCCAATTTAGCCTTTAATAACCATAATATTTAAACTTCGGGTAACCCAGATTTCCCTAATTTCGTTACAAAATAGTTATCGTGTCTAAAATACACATTATTTGGATAGTTAAATTTTCACAAGTATATTCTATTTCTCATCCTAGTAGCTTGTCATTTACTAATAAAATATCTTTCATTGTCACAAACCCACTTCCATATTACAATTCAAAACTATAGTCTAATAGCTAATTTTCATTTCCTTTATAGATCTAAGTCCTAGATATTAAATCAATCAATATCTCTAAAAATCTCCTTAGCCCATTAAGTAGGATTTTAAGCTGTTCCATCAATCAACAAAAAGGAGAAAGAAAATCCCATTTTTGAATCTAATTCTAGCTTTCTTTTTGTGCCAAGCAGGCTTCCATACCAGTGCCTTTAAATCCTCAAGTGGGTCTCCCTTCATTCCTACACGTTGTTTGAATCAAGGGAGCGCATCCAGTTATCCATTTTTCAAAGGAACTGGCCCCTTTGTAGTCATTAGATTGTTGCCCTAATAGTTCAAATCTCCCTGTTTGATTTAGAATATTTGTCATCAGTTCAGTCTGGTCTTCTTCTTCCAGTTTCGTCTGGCTAAAATAAAAGGTCATGTCCGGTGTTGTAGTTGTTATTTGATTGTCTAGATTGTCTAAGTTCTCAATATATTGTATTTGTTGATCTTTAGCATCCTCCATCTTAATGTTACTTTCTTCAGTTTCTGTTGCTTTTTGAGTTACAAGTACTTTAGTTGAAATCAAGGTTTGATTGTTAAAATTCTCAGTAAATTGTATTTATTGTGTAGAATCCTCTTTGATGTTAATTTTTTTCCTCTTCAGTTTTTTCTCTTGTAAGTTCATCAGTTGAAAACTGGGCTTCAATTTGTAATTTTAAGGTGACATCTTTGTCTTTCACTCTGGAGTTCATTAGCTCAGTGGCTTCAAGGATTTTTTCAAATATAAGTTTATAGTTAAGTTGTGGGTAGGATTCCTCTATTTCTATGGTGATTAGAGATAGTCTTTTAGTGGAGGCTATGTTTAGTAAAAGTCAGCAAATGTCCACCTCCACTATTCCTAAAAGTTGTTTTCACTACTCTGCTGTTTCAAGTTCTTATCTTTTTTAGATAGTGTGAAGGACAAATCTAGAGAGTAAACAGGCCTCACAGTCAAAGAAATTCAGTTGCTGTACCAGGCTTCGCCACAAGATGTCCCCGATAGGCTATAAAATCTTTTTCCAGACACCAGTTAGGCTTTTATCCAGTTAAAAATTTTTTCCCAACTTACCAAATAGATAAGATGAGAGGTCCCTGTAATAGGAACTTTTGGGAACCCCAAAGCATCCAAAAAATACAGATCCAGTTATTTAGATTAGTTCTTTTTTTTTCAAAGCTTAATTTCCCAAAGTAGGCAGACACCGCTATGTTAAAAGCGGGGAAGAGGTTTCAGGAGGCTTTCACAGGAAGGTAGTTGGGGTAAGAGGAAGGTAAGGAAGGGTCTCACCCAAATCCTCCGTGGTACTTTTGTTGTGCTGGGTGATGATTTTGGCTTTCGGCAGGCACGGCTTAATGATTGGCCATGTTGATGGCCGATCTTTTCTCTGACAGTCCAGAGGAGCTGCCTCAGATCAAACGGAAGGGCTACCACCTTTCCGCGATCTGTCGAGGGTCCTCACGGTCGTCAGCCCTCCAAGGCGACGTACGACCATGTTCAGGGTCGCCCGATGAAGGAAAACCAGACAGCGGAGAGAGCGCTCTCGCTGCGCATCAACCAGCACCGCAATCCGGAACCGGAAGCCCAAACTGCACAGCTTTCTAATGATCTCTATTAATAGTCTATCTGAGTGGTTCTCAACCTGTGGTCAGCCCTGGGAGACTGCAATGTCACCCAGCTAGCTTCTGGTGCATAGGCAGGTCTAGAACCTAGGCCTCACCACTCATAGCCCAATGGCTTGGCTTCTCAACCAATTTCACTCTCAACTTGCTGATATATATAGAATAATTTTGTTTTTAAGCAAATCTTATATGAATCTAAAATTCACTCCTTTACCACTTGCTGAGGTCGTTCTGTAAATTCTTTCAGCAAATTTTTACTGTAAAATTACGATTTTAAAAATATAGGTATTATATAGGTTTAGTTTTTGTAATGCTTCAGAGTTTCTGTAAACATTTGTAGGACTTATATAGATATTCTGCTTACTATTTTTTCAGTGAAGTGGAATATAAACAATTCTTTAAACTGAGAATGCTAAATAAATATGAACATTCTACTTCTATCTTCTTTGGCTCTTGTTAAATATAGATCTGTTGGTGACTTATGTAGTTTTGTGTTGATAAATCCGCAGACTTTCAACTTTACTTACTGTTGGCTCACTGACAAAATAAGCCTACTTTAAACATAAGCTTATTTAATTAAAGCACCAAGGCAGCAAATATATTCATGCAATTTACATTCCAGGAAATAACAGGAATTGCTATTCTAGCTGTAACATAGATTAGAAGCTGACTAAAGTTAGACCAGTATAGTGTGGTGGTTAAGATCCAACTTTAGCTTTAAGTACTCACTGTGTAACTTTGGCTCAGTCACTATCTTTCAGCTCAGCCTACCTCACAAGTTTATTATTGGGGGGGGAATAGGGGAGGGCATGCAGAACATGCTACCTTTGCTCCTGGTCAAAAGGTAAGATTCAGATATAACAAAAATAGAATTTATGATGATCTATCCAAACAAAATTAGTGTTGTTTAAAAAGAATTTGCACAGTACAGTACGGTTAGTGCTCTTCCTTGTTCTGTGGTTTGTCAATTGGAAGCAAATGCAGTGGATTTTTACTTTCCATCTGTTTTATTCATATATTTCTTTTACTCCTAGACTAGTTGTTTATTTGGAAGTTTGGTTTTCCCTGCCTATAGCCACCATGAGCCCAGCTGATACCAAGCGCTGTGGGACCAAGCGTCGGAAAAATAAAAAAGGTGGTGGCCTTGGCCCATCAAACCTAGCTGGAGTCTTCGAGGTCAAATCTGTAGGACTATCTTCTAATATTGCCCCTTCCTGCTCTTTTTCCTCTTCAACCCCATCTACTTCTACTGTTGCCTTCTTGCAGACTCCCAGTACCAACACAGCTTCTTCTAGCACTGAAAATGGTCTTCTGGCAGTAGCTGCCACAGCTCCCAACTTGATTCCTAGTGAAAGAATGAAGAAGGCCGAGTTTCAGAAAAAGCGCTGTGGAGGAACAATTAATTCTAGACAAACTCGTAAAAGAAATATAGTTAGTAACACAGGTCCTGAAACAGCTTCACAAGAACCAATTGATCTTGAAGTTAACACTTGTGAAGAAGTAGTTGATCTGACTTGTGAATCTTCAGAACCAATAGTAGTTGATCTGACACACAACGATTCAGTTGTGATTGTTGAAGAAAATGTTTGTCAACAACAAAATCAAGAATTTAGAAATCAACTTCCTGACAGCTGTATATTAAGCAGTGATGATGATGAACCAAGAGATGAAGTGATTTTGACTAGCACCCTAACTAAAGAATTGGAATTATTAGAGGATGATATTCCAAGTTCACACCGTTCAGGTACTGTGAGTTGCCCAATTTGCATGGATGGCTATTCAGAGATTATTCAGAATGGACGGCTTATTGTTTCAACGAAATGTGGTCATGTCTTCTGTAGCCAGTGTCTTCGGGATTCTCTAAGAAATTCTAATTCTTGCCCAACTTGTAGGAAGAAACTTGGCTACAAACAGTATCATCCAATTTATATATGAAACTTAGATCCTTCTACAAAGTATCTATAATGTACTCTTCTGAATGCTTCATATACATATATTTTCAGCAACAATAGAATATTATAATTTCCCAGATACATCAGTTAATGTGCAGACCATGATGGAGTTTCTTCAGTATGTAAGCTTTTTTTAAAAATTTGGTTAATCACATGAAGTTGGCTTTATAGTCCACCAAAGTATGTAGATGTTTGAAGAACAGTTAGCTACAATGGATGCAAAATTGTATTGCCATGCTGTTTTTGAAAAATGACACTTCTACAAGATACATTTTTTACTTCAGATGACAGGATGAAAATCTGTTTTAATTTGCCCAAGATACTACTCATGCTTACGATAATGTAATCAGCCTGCATTTTTCTTTTTGCATTTCATTCTCAAAAAATTTGAACTCACATATGTTTCCTGATGATATTCTACCTTTTGCGTGAACTTCTGCATTTCTAAGAAGACTATATTTTGTAGCCAAGGTGCACTACATTTCTAACATTAAATGTTTAAATATTTCATTTGGAGGCATTTTTGGAAGACAGTAGTAGGACCATAACTAGAAAAGCTTTGACTTTAAAGTATAATCATAAAGAAATATTTTCTATATGCACCTAACTTAACAGAAGAATAAATTGAAACCTACTTCATCATCTCAGAACAAGGCAAAGAGAAACGCGAGTTCTGGCATAAGAAGTTCAGATATTTGACAGAGTGAACATAATGAAAGCTGTCTTTCAGTAAATACATTTTCATACTGGTGTATTGAAGTCCAATGGTTCTTTCAATTCTCTTCATATAGTCGTAAAGTGCAGACTGAACATTTTTAATCCCTATACTATCATTATTTCTTTGATCTAAATAGGTGCATTTTGAAAATACCAAGAAAGCCCTTATTAGATTGGTTACCATTAACAAATAATTAGAATGGTACAGCATGAAAAATACAACAGTAAGTTGCTGTTAAGAATTTTAGTTTGGGGCTTCATATTTTTGCTAGATGCTACACTGATGAAAATAGTAAAACTTGTAGTTTCTGCATAGGCAGAAGGAAGTAAGCCATGCAGCTTGGATAGACAATTTATGTTCTATTATCTATATTACTGATGTTTGATTATTGTGTAATCATGAAGGGTTTCTTAGCAGCTACCTTCTAAATGAATGTTATATTTACACATTATCATAACTACAAAACAGAAAAAATCTCTCTGCAGTATTAGGAGTTTCAATAGTCAATTGAATATTTTTCCATTTTTAAATTTTAAAAAGGATATGGATCCCCTTGTCCATTTATATTAGGGCAGTAAAAATTAGAGATATGTATAAATCAGAAAGAATATTTTGTTTCAAACAGAACTAAACCATTTCGTTTTGGAGGTTTTGGCAAACTTTCTTAGGTCCTTCACAGTTCAGCTTTAGCTTTATTTATTCTGGGTTTTGGATGACATCTGAATAGAGTAATATTAATACATATCACCCCTTTCTCTGTTTCTACACTGCATCTCCCTGTAAATCATAAATAGAAGTCTGTGTTTTTCCCCTCTCAGCAGCTTTACTGATACTTCAGAATGGCATGTCTTAGTGTCCCGTTTACCCCTGATCTTTCCCGGAGCTTCCCTCCTTCCTCTCAGCCACCACTGCTGATGTTCCAGCAAGCGTTGTCCACCTGTGCCCAGCACCTTCTCTCACTATTTTCTCTCAGCTACTGATACCCCCTCTTGAAACCACTTCTGCTCGAAACATAGTAGCCCCATTTCTTCGGTATACAGCATCTAAAATGTGTGTCTCCATTCAGATCTGGACCAACCATTTCAGAATGATGTACATAAAATTTGAAACTTTATTTGGAATTTCCTTTGGGAGTTAAGAGGCCTGCTTATCCATGAGCAATTCCCACATGCTTAGAGATTGCCATATAATCAACTGAATCCATGTAATTCAGTGTTTCTCAACCTTGACAATTTTAAGGCATGTGGACTTCAGTGCTGGCTGCGGAATTCTGGGAGTTGAAGTCCACATGCCTTAAAATTGTCAAGGTTGAGAAACACTGATGTAATTGATTCATTTAGATGCAATAAGAGCTATTTACTGAAATCATTTTCTAATACAAATTTAGAAATCAACATAGTTTTTATATTATTCAAATCCAATTTTATCTGTTAAAAATTTCACTATCCTAGGAAAACCTATCTATTTTCTCCTATATTTCAGCTCACATATTTGTGAATCAACTCTGGATGACTAGGGTAACCCATGCCAATTAAAAAGCTAGACCCCTTTAAGAAAGTAAGTTTGAATTCTACCCATTGCTTTTAAATTGAGCAGATTCCTTTTGATTAAATATGTTACAATCAGAATTTAAATCAATCTAGTTGTCTAACAAAAAAGCTGCACAATTTGTTAATTGTTATTCTATCATAATTTGTCATTAATTCAAGTCTGCCTAGTCTAAAGTGATTTTTTTTATTGATAGCTTTTGAAAGTTCTGCTAGTTAGCAAGCACATCAACTGTAGCATTAGATATTAAATAGGTTTGAATTGTAATGTAATGTTAGACCATTGTTCAGTAGTTCTGAACAATGTGTGGATATGTTCTTTCTTAATTAAAATCTCTATTGAAGGCTTTTGCTTCTCTTTTTTTCCAAAATCAGTCTTTTGGCTAGGGAAAGGAAAGCTTAAAAAAATTAGTTAAACATGATTAACATATCCTATAATTTTTAGCATTTTCAAAATAAATCTAAACATTCTGAATTTGTTCTCAAGGTGATATTGATTTATTCAAATATGCATAATTTTAAGAAATGGCAAATATCTGTATATCCATCTCTAAATATGTAGAATCCATGCTTTTTACTTATTTATATGTATCTATCATGTTTGTGTTACCATATTAGACAAATCTGATTACAGATAAAAAAGATTTTTACATATTTGATTCACACATTTATTATGCAAGAACATATATAGGGAGAATCTGGATATTTAATGGTACTGGTACTATTTATAAAAAAAATGGTAAGAATGCTTTCTCGTGACCAATTATTGTACAGAGCATCATCATTTGAATAAATGCACACCACAAAAAGAGTCTTGACTATTTGAGGAACAAATTTTAATAAGAACTCGGCCAGTTTCTGAGACAGGACTTCGACTGGGTTTAATTCTCAAAGATACAATTCAAGAACTAAAGATTTCTTTGTACAGGATGACTATAAATGAAGTTATGAATTGAAACAGACAAATCTCAAAAGCAGGAAAAGAAGGTAAGCAGACACATCAAACTACCTTAGAAGTACAGGCATTTGAATATATTAATTTTTCAGCTGAGAAGATTGTAATATATTTAAAAATCATTGTAATAAGTGTTTGGTAATTTTCACAATTCCACGAAGTTGCTAAACCTGGCTATAATATATAGAAAAATGGAGCAACATTTAGTTTTTAATAACTTTATAATACTGAAACAATGGTCAACAAACTGAGCTGTTGCTTATTAGCATCTGTAATTGCACAACAGGTAACCTCCAACTTGCAACCATTCATTTGGCAACCATTTAAAGTTACGATGATGCTGAAAAATTGGCTTACAACAGGTCCATATACATATGACTGTTGCAGCATTTCCATGGTCATGTGGGTGCTTGTCCACCAGTATGCATTTCTGATGGTTGCAGTGTTCCGAGTCACATGATTGCCAATTGTGACCTTCCCAGACAGCTTCTAACAAGCAAAGTCAGTGGGGTAAGTCATATCCATTTAACAACCGCAGCACAAAGGTTATAAAATTGGGCACAGTCACATGATGCCTCACTGAACTGCAACACCGCAATAGAAGTTTTGATCCTAATTGTGATTGTAAGTTAAAGACCATCTATATTCATTACTCTCAGCTGTGTTCACTGCAAAGGTCACTTAGAATAAAGCAATTCTGTATGAAAGTAAACATGCAGCCCCACTGAACTTAAAGCAGCTTTTTCCCATCTAAATACAAGCGATGTACCCGTGCCACCATAGCTGTCTGTGGGATTCCTTCATTGTTTCCTACCTCCAGTATCCCTGCAGTACAAGCTGGGGATTGCAAGTGCATAACTATTAAAAGACTATCAAGTACAAGCTTCATTCATTCATGTACTGCCATCTTCTAAATCAAGGATTTGGACAAGTGCCATCTGAAATACAATTGTTTACTGAATGTGGTTCTACTCTTTCTTAACTTAGTTTTCCCCATCCTGGTATCCCTCAGATACATTATAAATACAATTGTCATGTAAAGCACAATGTCACATGATTGCAACACTTAGTGATGGTAATCCTGGCATTTTTGCCACTCTATTGCCATCATTAAGTGAATTGCAGTAGTCATTAGCCAATGAAAACCTTGGCAAAAGGGTGAAATTGGGTGTGATTGAAGCTTAGCAACTAAAGTCCTAGTCCCAATTGTCATAAGGCAATTATGTAAAGATAACAATTTAAACTGCACTAGTACAGAATGAAGAAAAATATTTTACACAGAATATATTGAAAGATATTTCTTAACTTGGAATTCTAAGAGTATCTACCTCTACAGATAGACTATTTCAAAGAGTTATGCAAGAGGAACACTTTACCAAACAAGATTGGACTGATTTGAAAGTGGATTTTAAAATGAAAGGCTACATGAATGATATGGAAAAAGCTGCTACACTGGATATACAAAAGGAACTAGCTGATATCTTAATAATTAAAGGAGATATGCAAATAACAAACCAAGAAAGACCTGGGTAATTCTGCTATTTTGGATTTACAAAAACACTTGTTAAAGCTTTGAAGAATTTTGTGAGAAAGGACAAAGAATTGAAAAGAATTCTAGGTAGTTACTTGAAAGTACTAAAAACAAGGTTGCTATAAGTAAAAGGAATATAAAATTGAACTTCTCCCCAATATTCAGCCAGACTGTTAAAATTGGTGGTTTTTCAGGCAATTGTTATATCTCAAAAGAGATAGATGGGCAGTCATTGGATGAATAAAATCAAGATCCGTTCAGGGGGAAGCCAGTGGGAATGGGCCTGTAGTTTGACTAGTCTTTTCTTGAGAATCCAGTGTAAGGGTTTATCGACTGAGGTGATCATTTGGGAGGTTATGAAAGGATTGTATTAGATCTACTTGGCTCTTCCTTCATTTGTCTGAATGAGTTTTGCATTGGAAAACCTTTTTTGTTGTTGTTTTGGGGGGCTGCTAAGCACTCAGAGAATAAACTTGCAGCACTTCAACAGGAGGACAACTGGAGAATAGTGAAACATTGAAGGACTCAGTTGCAGCAATCACTGACCAAAGCATTGATTTAACTGCATTGAGTTTGTGTGCAATGGTTTGTTGTTCCAAACAACTGACTTAGTTTTTCCTCATTCTCCATAGGGTTGTTTGATGTCTTCCCTTCAATTTATTTCCATAGGGTGGTTTGATGTCTGTATCTTCCCTTTAATTAAATTGGGAGTGTTGTCTTTCCTGTTTTTATCTGAGTCTGACCTTGGAATTGGTGGAGCTGCAGTATAGGAAATTGCTGGCTAAGATTATGAACTCAAGAGACTTATGCAATCTTCCCTTGTAGGCTTGGTTCTCCTCCCAGAATTTAGCATTGCTATTGTGAAACACACCTAAAAGCATAATTTGAAAATCCTTAGAAAATGTTTTTTAAGTTGAAAAATATTGAAAGTAGTACATAATGCCTAAAAGTCAATATTCTTTCAAATCCGTGCCATCTGGGAAGCTGGGAATTTATGTTAACTAGTACTGCTTGCCCATTGTGCCACCTGTCCCCAAAACTGTTGCAGAAAAGTGATCCAAAACGTGATCCTTGTTGAGTGCCTTAGTCTATCAGAGTTCTCACATAACTTTTTTCCCCTGCTCTAAACATAGGACTTCATTGTTTTATGGTAGGTGGTAAAAGACAACCAGGAGCACTAAAAAACAAAAAACAAACACGCACAAAAGACCTGCCTTGAATAAGGCAGGTTCCAAGACTGCCATAGGGCCTGATACAGAAGGAAGAAGAATTAAATCTTGATACCTCAACAATAATGAAGACACCAGTGACAGAGATCTTGAATATAACACACACACGAATATGCCGATAACAGCAACCTTGGCAACTTTAAGACTTGTGGACTTCAACTCCCAGAATTCCTCAGCCAGCAAAGCTGGCTGAGGAATTCTGGGAGTTGAAGTCCACAAGTCTTAAAGTTGCCAAGGTTGAGAACCCCTGGCTTAAGCCAAAATTAAACAAAGCACATTCTAGCTTTGTTTAGTGTTTCTCAACCTTGACAATTTTAAGGCATGTGGACTTCAGCATTGCTGGCTGTGGAATTCTGGGAGTTGAAGTCCACATGCCTTAAAATTGTCAAGGTTGAGAAACACTGGACTTTAGCTAGATAGCATTTAGCTATCTGAATGAACCCAGCCCAATCCTACGAAGATTTATCTAACGCGGGGACGCAAGACTTTATGCTGCCGTGATCTGCTTCACTACTTGGAGAAAAATTGACTAAGAAGCTGGCTTCGGTTTCCGTGCCCATGGTAGCCGTGGAGTTTACCGACAGCCGGGCTCGACTGCCCCAACGGAGCTCCTGTTGTTCGGGTTGCGCAGGGTGCTGCCTCCCTCCCCGCCCCACGCCGACTTTCTCGACCGGGCAGTTGGCAGTGTGGTAGCTGATCCTGGACCGTCCTAACGCTGCCATTATTATTTGCAATAGGGAGGGGCATCGCATATCGTTTATTTTCGCAATGGGCTCAGGCGATTTTCTGGCGGTGCCAATTGTTACAGGGCGAAGCTCTCCTCGCCGTTCATTTCTTCTCCCAGGAGTTTATGGGCAGGGACGCTTAGGAAGCCCCTCCTGCCTTCTCCTCGAGACCCCGCGCAGAGACATGGACCAAGGCAAGCCTCCTTCCCCACCGGTTAACCTCAACGAGTTGCCGGAGGACTCGCCCCACGTGAGGGCGGCTATTGTAGCGCTGAGGTGCAAAGCTGTGGAGGAGAACCTACAGGTCCGCCAGCTCGACCTTTCGGACGCCTGTCTGCTCCGCTTTTTGCGGTGTCGAGACTTCGACAGCAACCTGGCTTGGAAGGTAAAGGGATCCCGGTACCCAACAGACCAACGGGAACGCGAGCACACACACACACACACACCCGCCCTCCCCACTTCCTCCCCTCCTAACTCAAGACTGGCGCGCGGGTTTCTTCAGGTAACTTTTCTAAACTCGCCGCTTGGCTGGGGCTCTTCCTTCTCGCCGCCCTCGCACAGATCCTTCCTTGCTAAAGAGCTGGAAGGAGACACGCCTATAAGGACCCCTGTTTATCCTGGCCAACCTTCGGCCGAGTGCCTCCACCGACTTCTCGAGGGACGCAGTGCCCAAACCGGAGAGGCAAACTGTCTCTTCCCTGAGACTTACACGAATTGGAATGTGCTGATTCTGTAATTGTTGAATTGTCCAGTGAAAAGAGCTCAGCAGGTGCCTGGTTGAAGCTAAACAAGGTCTGAACTGGTTATTACTTCAATGGGAGACTGCCAGGGAAACGCAGGGTTAGAGAAGAGATTAGGGGAGTTGAAGCCCTTCAGAAAAAGACACTGTTGCAAGAGGACAACAATGGCAAAACACACCTGACCTCACCACGAGTTAAGTGCTGCCTGGTTTTACTTCATAAAGGTTACCCTTCCTCTTTTTCAAATTGCTCTTTCCTCTGAACAGAATATGGAACTGCAAAATCTTGGATGCCCAGAAATCTATTGTTCAACAGTTGCCACTCTTACTCTTTGGCCTTTGAGGATAGGGCCAGGTCATATTCACTGCAGGGATTCCAGGGATGCTATTTATTTTGTAAGACACATTAACAGAATTTTGAAAGCCTTTCCAAAACCTTCACTACCCCTCCTTTTTAAGGATAGCATTGGTCAAGGCAATTTCATTCTCTTCCAGTGTCTCTTTTTTGTGTTTTCTGCCTTCCCGGTACTTAGCAACTATTTAACTTCTTCACTTCTTTCTCAATGACCAGAGCTAAATTCATCTACACAAGGTTGTGATGGCTTTTGTATCAGCTGGAAAGGATTCCTACCTTGTGTGGTACTGATGCTTGTTTTTCCTATTCCGATTTAAGCATGTGTCTATCTTTGCTTTTTTAAAGCACCACTCATCCAGTAAGGTTTAATTTGTCTTTGGTGCTGTTAAAGACAGCTATAGTAATACCTTCTGTCACTTTTGTACCTCAGAACAATAAGGAGCACAGAAAAGACAATAAAAATCTGGAAGAAGAATTTAAAACTCTGGAGGAACAATTAGTCAAGACTGAGTAATCTGTCAGATTCCTGAAAGATGCTGAGAAAGAAAACTACAATTATACAAATATTGACAGGGTTCATGTTTTCATGCAATACATGTATGCCACTGTTTTCCCTGTTTGGCTATTTTTATTTCTGCCTCTATAACCTTTTGTTTTCCTATGTCATCTTAACTCAAAGTACAATGTTGAGTCTGAACAAACCAGACATTGTACCCAGCTAGATTACCATATTTCAAAGAAACAGACATAAACCTACACATACACAAATTCCTATTTTCACAACAGTTGTGAGAAAACAAACACAAGGGAAGGGGGAATAAGGAAAGACAAATATTCTGATTCCCTAACATTTGTTTATTGTTGATACTTAGTTATATGATTATTATTTAGTATTCTGTCATTTGTCCTTTGTTTATGCTTTCCAAACTTTTGCTCTCATCTTTCATATTCTTACTGCTGTTTGAAAAATAAAGCTTTCTGACAATCAACTTCAAAAACCTATGACAAAAATGTATTGGAAATCTGAAACTTCCTCAGAATATTGGGAATTTTAAAATGTGTATGAAGTGGACAATGACATTGGAGGAATTTATCATGATTTTTTTTTAATTACAGAGGTTACTAGTATACAGTTCTGGCTCTATTTGAGAAGGATTCCTTGTCAGATATATGATAGGAGTGGCTGTTCCAAATATTTTTATTTACTCCTTGCCCAAACACTATTAAATTTTGTTATCTGAGTTTATTGTCACCATGTGACCATGCATGTAAATTTAATAAATCATAGTCTTGCAATCTATTAACACAGCTGCCCCCAACCTTTTGGATGCCAGGGCCCAGTTCCATGGAGGGTAGTTTTTCTGTGGACTGGAGGTCCCGCTCATGGGGATTGCCTGGGTCCCAGTCATGCGTGTCTGGGGCTTCGCTAGCTTGCGTGGCCCAGTTCCTGGCAGTCTGCAGACCGGTGCCAGTTCACAGCCTGGAGATTGGGGACCTATGCATTAACAGATAGTATGGAGCTTTGAGCTATTAATTTATGTTCTAACTCACCTTTTGCAAAACCTTCCTATAACTTGCCCTCAGTTCAGATCAAACTGCAACTAATATTGCTACACAGAGCAACATTTATTTATATTGACATTTCAATCCATGAAAAACACATATTTGATTCCAGCCTAACTCAGATTGTTCACTAAGAAATTTATGTGCATTGGCATTTTTACTACTATGTCTGGGACAGACAATTTGTTTTTACTATTACATCCAATAGTTTTCCCTAGCCTATTTGTAAAAATGCAGAGACAGAAAATGGATTTCAGTCTATAAATGTGATATGCAGCTGTACATATTGGTTGTCAGTTTTAGCAACAATAGATAGCTTATTTTTATTAAAATTCTCACCTCCTTGTAGTGCTTCATTCAAATGTTCTTTCTGATCTTCCCACATAGCTGCCATAATATACAATATTCCATGTTGATACTGTAGTTGGATAGAATAAGCCTGTGAAATGCTTTAAACCTGATTATGTAATTATATTACCATCACCTTCTCATGTTAATCAGGAATAATATACATTTACCAACTTAGTACCAAGTGCTTGCCCATACATGCTCCAAAGCATTGTTTTATCTTAGAAATCCAAAGTATGCATGGCATTAAGATAAAATATCTATTTCCAAAATGAAGACTAGATGGCAGTGTTATTAAAAATTGCCTGATTCCATCATATGTAACCCGTAATGTAAGAAATAACAAATGGCAGAAAACCTCCAGAAGTGAAGGGAGGGGACTATATCCCCTTTCCCTTACAGATGGAAGCGGCGAATTAACATAAAAGGTTGAAAGAGATATACTAAAATTTAATTTAAAATATTTCAGTCTGGACAAATCTAGGAACTAAAAAACTGTCAAGATTATACCTAAAAAATTTCTGATGGAATTATAAAAATATATAACAAAAATAACTTTTTGATGGAAAGAAAAATTGAAAAAAGAAATAACTGCTGAAATCTAGTGGAGAATCAGAGAATAGAACACTAACAATAAGGACTCAGAAATTGGCAGAATGCCAGAAACAAAGAAAAAGTTGTTCCTTTGACTTGCAAATAACCTTGAAGACAGCTGGGAACAAAGGAAGAGCCAGCTATAAGATTAAAAAGTCTTTGAAAGAAAACACTTAAGCAACCTGGACTGTTGCTTAAACCTAAGAACTATTTATGGGGGGGGGGACTTTGGCTTATTGGCTAATCCTTTAGAGGAGAATTTGCTGGAAGGATTTAAAGTTGCTTAATATACTGAATCTATTAATTTTGACTGACTGATAAATTAACTTTTGAATTAAAACATTGATGAAAGATTATTTGAAGGGGGGAGACAACATGGGAAAATTTAGAAAGTGAGATGACTAATATGAAGAAAGACTGGCTAGGCCACTCCAGGAGCTTAATGTGCTTCTTGAGCCACTCCTTTGTTGACTTGGCTGTGTGTTTTGGGTCATTGCCATTCTGGAATACCCATCCATGACCCATTTTCAATACCCTGGCTGAGGGAAGAAGGTTCTCACCCAAGATTTGATGGTATATGGCCCCATCCAGCATCTCTTTGATGTGGTGAAGTTGTCCTGTCCCCTTAGCAGAAAAATACCCCCAAAGCATAATGTTTCCACCTCCATGTTTGATGGTGGGGATGGTGTTCTTGGGGTCACAGGCAGCATTCCTCCTCCTCCAAACGAGTTGAGTTGATGCCAAAGAGCTTGATTTTGGTTTCACCTGACCACAACACTTTCACCCAGTTCTCCTCTGAATCATTCAGATGTTCATTGGAAAACTTCAGATGGGCCTATACACGTGCTTTCTTGAGCAGGGGGACCTTGCAGGTGCTGCAGGATTTCAGTCCTTCATGGGTAGTGTGTTACCAATTGTTTTATTGGTGACTATGGTCCCAGCTGCCTTGAGACCATTGACAAGACCCTCCCATGTAGTTCTGAGCTGATTCCTCACCTTTCTCATGATCATTGAAACTCCATGAGGTGAGATCCTGCATGGAGCCCCAGACCGAGGGAGATTGACAGTTATTTTGTGTTTCTTCCATTTGCGAATAATTGCACCAACTGTTGTCACCTTCTCACCAAGCTTGGCGATATTCTTGTAGCCCATTCCAGCCTTGTGTACAATCTTGTCCCTGACATTCTTGGACAGCTTTTTGGTCTTGGCCATGGTGGAGAGTTTGGAATCTGATTGATTGATTGCTTCTTACAGGTAACAAGCTGAGATTAGGAGCACTCCCTTTAAGAAAAATGCATTTTGAAATGCATTTTTCTGAAAAAAAATTTTGTTATTCTGTCTCTCACTGTTAAAATAAATCTACCATTATAATTATAGACTGATCATTTCTTTGTCAGTGGGCAAACATACAAAATCAGCAAGGGATAAAATAATCCCCCCCACACTGTATTACACAAAGAACCAGTTCTCTGGAGTAGGCTGTAATGCTGGGGAAGGTGGAAGGAAAGAAGATGAGCATGATAAGCAGCAAAGTGGATGGTCTCACAATGACAATGGACACACTATTAGAAAACCTGAAAGATTAGATAAAGGACAGATCGTCATGGAGAAAAGCAATTGAGCGGTCACTAAGAGTTGACACCAACTTTATAGAATATCATCATCACGATCAATCAGTGGCTTATTCCTGTTTTTCCCTAACCAGTTTTCCTCTTCCCCTTTTCTCATTTCCATTCAGCTTTGCCTTTCTCTTCGCAGTGCAACTAGGTGGTCCTCTTTCTAGTTTTGTTTTCCTTTTTTTCTGTTGGAAAGATAGCAGAATGCATGTGTGAGGTGTGTGTGTGTATATATATTTATTTATTTATTTATTATTCGAATTTATATCCCGCCCTTCTCCTTGCGGACTCAGGGCGGCTGACAATCAATTAAAAACACCAATAACAATCACAAAATTAAAATTAATTAAAATGAAATATTTAAATTTTCTGATTAAAATATGATTAAAAACCCCTCTAAAAACCCCTCTTAAAAATTGCCCTAGGCCAGTCCCGCTTGTTGGAATAGCCATGTCTTGAGGGCGCGGCGGAAGGAAGGGAGATCAGGGATCACCCTGATCTCTGGGGGTAGCTCATTCCAGAGGGTGGGAGCTCCCACAGAGAAGGCCTTCCCCCTTGGGGTCGCCAGCCGGCACTGTCTGGCCGATGGCACCCTGAGGAGACCCACCCTGTGGGAGCGTACTGGCCGATGGGAGGTAATCTGTGGCAGATTGCTTCTGTGGCAGATTGCTTCTGTGCAGGAGGGCAGTTTATGTTCTGTGCAGGAGGGCAGTTTATGTTTGTGAAACAGACAATGACTGGAATATGCAAATGGAGATCAATTTTGAAACATAAAATAAATTTATGATAGGACTTGGATAAGAAGCAAAACATCTTCAAAGAAAAACAAGAAAGTCCAGTTGCCTTATGAAAAAGCATCTTTGGGATTTGTGATGGGGTAGAATTGTTAAAATTAATTTCAGTTAGGTTGATAACCTAGAGAAGCTAAGCCTTTCCCACTTTGATTGCTTTTGTTTATAATTATTTTGTTTTTCTTTGAGGGAGACTATCTTAAATTTAGGATAATTTGTCATTTGAGTAAACATGTATAGATTATAAAATTCACCTTCATTGCAGTTGTACATAGATTTTCTGAGAGTTCTGTTTTCTATTGAATTCCCTATTGAACTTCAAAGGCATAAACTTATGGAAAGTTTGTAAGTCTAAGCTTGTAACATCCAGACTTTTAGTAGGCTATATCGTGCTATTATTATACATGAACTTATATATGTATGAAATTATGCTATTATGTTATCTCATTTCCATCTCTGTTATTTCTGTTCTTAGGTCTTGAAAAACTATCACAGATGGAGAAGGGAATGCCCAGAAATAACTACAAATCTACATCCACCCTCTAATCTTAGCCTGTTGCAAACAGGCTACTTTGGAATTTCGAAAAAGAGGGATCCAAGTGGTTCTAGAGTGATCTTTTATAGAATTGGCAAGTAATGTTTATGTTGATAATCCTATCTAGTTTCTAAAACCAAAGTGAAGGATAGTGAAGGGGGAGGATGCACGTACAGGGGTAGTGGCTAAATTGCCCTAGGACCTTAGGATCAAGACCAGCAGCCACTGCCCCCTCCATTGCACCTTCCATTGTTTGCCTTTGCTCTGTGAAATTGCTGATTTGGGGATTGAAGGGAAGAGAGGATAGTAGTTCAGGTTTCTCATGGCTAGTTAACAAGGACAGAAGAATGCCTGCAAAAAGAAGCCAAATTTGACTAGATGGAGAAGTGAAGGATGAGCAGCAGCATTGGGCCATCTTTGATAACTTGCTCTCTTTTGTGTGTGTGTGTGTGTGTGTGTAAACTTGAGGATTTTTTCTCTTCTCTCCTTTGCTGCCTTTTGTTTAGGGAACAATTGACCTCCTTTCTTTTCTGTTTTAGCCTTTTTTTTATAACTTCACAAACTTATCTTATTGTTATGGATCTATTTATAATTGTTTCTCTGTAATCATCAGTAAAGCTTTTTAAAGTTTAAATATTCATCTATTTTGTCCAGGGTAATTTCTTTTCCATTATATTAATTGGAATTATATTAAAATTTGTTTTTGCAAAGTCACATTCTCTGTTATTATAGTATCACCCTCTTGTAATTTCAGTATCTTTTTTTGTTTTCATCAGTTCCCTGGTTTACTTGAAAAGTCTTTTTTGTTTTGCATAATTTATTTTTATTTCCCTTTTTCTTAATTCTAACATAGATAATTCTTGCTATAGAAGCTTAATTGGTTGAGAAATAATTATCTTCTCTGGAAACTTCTTCAATTGGTTGAGAAATAATTATCCTCTCTGGAAACTTCTTTAATTTCTCTTCTTTTCTTTTTATCTCACCCAAAATAACTTGTGTTTTCTGTTGCCTTTGCCTTTTGAGTTCATTATTATGGGGTATAAAGTAACCTTTCATGAAAACTTTGCTTGCATATCAAATGAATCTTACATATGTACCTTTATTAAGATTATTTTCAAACAACTTGGAAAGGGGGAGATCTTAAGGCAAATGCTGCACTGAGATCAGCAGTAATATTTGGGCAACATTCAGTCAGATAATTTTATAACATAATTGCAGAGGGTTTTCAGGGCCACAAATATGGTATTTGTGAGCTGTTGATTATTAAGGTATGAGAAAAAAATTAGATAAACATAGCCAAAAAGCAATAATCAGATAAAAACTAGGGAGTAAAGAGAGAGAATCTGTTTGAACAATCAATTTGGAAGACTTGGAGGCAAAATGTAGATGATAAAACAAAGAGATGCTTTTAATGATGTTGAATTAAATATTTATATGCACATCTGTTCAGACTTCACTCTCTCTTACTGATATGTTACATGTTCTAAGAAATTTAGATATAATCCAATTGGAGTTAAACAGTTTTCAATTCTCTTGAAAATACGAAAAAGTATAAGCAGTTAAGAGAGCATTTCTATGTTTGATAGCTGTCAAAAGAAGATTAGATGCACCATTGTGCCCTTTTACTGTGGGAGTAGAATTTCACAGGTAAAGAAAGCCTTTTGGGATTGTTTTATCCAATGGTAGCTTTTAACCTGTGTTATCCAAGCAATGGGAAAATAAGAAAAACAAAGATCTGTTAGACCGCTTTTTAAGAAAATCCGCTCTGTCTCCAATCAAGAACTGATAGATTTGGACTTAATGGAAAATAATCCAGTACTTCATTTCCTTGTCTCATGCATTCATCCTTAGTCTTTGTAATCAATGATGTGGATATTTCTAGTAATGCTTATCACTCTCTAATCTATATTTGTTGTAATTGTTTTCTTAGCAAGAATAATTATGATAGACTTTGTGAAGTAGCCTATAAGGTAAGGCTGTAAACTGTGACTCCTTAATTGTAATACAGTTTCACAGTATAGATACTAAAGGTGTTTCTTATTGGTGGTTATATATTGGCTTTCATAATCTTGATTGTGCATTTTTATTACTAGGAAAGTTATATCAATTGAAAAAAATAATTTATATCATAATTGCTATTAAGGCTACCTAGTGCCTGGAATACAGGTAATCCCCGGGTCATGAGCGTTCACTTAACATTTGTTCAAAGTTATGCGATCAGCGCCCCTTATTGTTTACGAAAAAATCCCAAAATTACGAATGTTGCAGCATCACAGCAGTTGTTCACCCTTACGAATGACTGCAGAGGCTCTGTAACATTCACCCTATTTCCCCCCCCCCCGCTCCCCACAACTGCTTCCCCCTTCCTTCCCACTGTGCGGGACTCATCTTATGCACCAGCCTTATTGAAAGCAATCCCGCTGCTGCTGCGCCTTCGCTTTCTTTCACTCAGACTTTATCCGTTCGGATAAAAATTGTTTGAGCGGCAGTGGTTTGTGTTCCTCGGCTCTGTATGAATGGAAGAAAGTGGAGGCACAGCAGCGGAATTGCTCTCAATAAGGCCAGTGCACGCAAACTAGCAACTTATTGTTTGAGAGCAATTCTGCTGCTGCGCCTCCACTTTCTTCCAAGTCGGATGGAACTGGGGGCCCCAAGCCCTTGGCAGTGGCAGCCATCTGAGTGGCTATGATTCCCCCTCCCCAGCAGTTGAAGGATTCCCTTCTGCTCTCAAACTAAGGCTGGCGCATGAGAGCGAGCAGCGCACCCTGGCTATGGACGGCATTGGTTCCTGCGCCCGGCCAACTTCGATTCCACGCTTTGTCCCACATGCATGCAAACGAAGCAAATACTTCTCCCCCACTCCCCGGAGAATGGAAGCTTCTGGGGGCCATTATCTCTTTTGCACATAATGGGTGTTTGAACTTGCATGATTTTAAGGCACCCAGGAGCTTCCATTGTCGACATGAAAAGTATTTCCAAGCCAACTCTCTATTCCCTCAAAGAGAAAGAAACTGTGGCAGAGAGGAGAAGATTTTTACAAGGTGAGTCCTGTGCAGTAGGAAGAGAGGGAAAAGCATGAGGTATCTTAGTGGGTCAGGGAGGTCTTGGAGGCCTGTTTCATCCCTAGCCCCCCCCCCCATGACCTTCCCCAACTTGAGATACCTCAGGTGCACTTAAAGAACTGTGCATTCACCTACGCATTCGATTAGCGAATGCGTGGGTAAAAGCAGGGAGTGATCTCCTTCAAGGTACAAGATTCACTACCACAAATTCTCAAGTTATGAATGGAATGGGCAGGCTCCATTACATTCGTAACTCGAGGACTATCTGTAGTTCATGATGCACAAGTTTTGGAAAACATAATTAAACTTTTTAATGTTGCCTATTATTCTTGCCACCCAGTCCAGAATTTTATTTAAGACAAAATATTCACTTTGTGCAGAAAAATTGTCTTATTGTTAAATAATAAATAATAAATATGCCTCTGTCTCTGTCTCTCTCTGTCTGTCTCTCTCTCTCTCTATGTATTTGTATGTATGTATAGCACGATGGGACCCTAAGATATTTACAACAGATGATCTCTTTCGTGTAAGTATTATGCTGTCTGAGCTTATTGTAAGAGAATCAGACACCCAACGGAATGGAACCAAGACAATCTTCGATCTCCAAGGATGGAAATTTGCTCATGCATTTCAGATTACTCCAGCAGTGACCAAGAAAATAGCATTTATACTCACAGTAAGCATTACTCTTATTTATTCCACTGTGGAATATTGTGGTAGTTTCCAAGAACTAAAATCAGGTAGCTGAATTGAAGCAGATAAATTGCACCTTTTCAGTATAGTTTTTGCAACAATTCAAAATGACTGAAACCCTCTTCAAACTGAATAAAGAATGTCAGCCAGGCTGCCCCAGTCTTGGTTTTTGTCCATCTTCTATATAGTCAGCTAAGTGTGAAGAAGAACAGTGCTCAGTTTTGCTTGGACACAAACACTGCTGACTTCACTCTCTTCAGGTTTGTCCTATTATTATAGGTTATGATAGAGCTTAGTCATCTTGGATTGTCTGACACTGTGACTTGATTATAAGGCAAAAATGTGTACTCTCTTGTGCTTGTAGTCAATAACTTCACATTGGCTCCATAGTTCTCAGTGCACTTCAGGTGACAATTGCTTGAATTAATTTAACCATATCTTTTGGTAGTTCATAATCAAGATCTTAATAATGTGGGAGATATGTCTTAAATAGATACAATTCTGAAGTCAATTCTATCACCTTACAGTTGAGTATTCAGTAATTGTTCTATAAATACAGTCCACAGTTCCTTCAAAACACAGGTATGGTTGTCTGTATAAAACAACTATGTTTAAAACCTTTTCAAAGTATTTGTTTTCTGTATTGAATATATAGACATGTGCCATATTTTCATGTATGTTGCTTATATAAGTATAAATGTTAGAATATTGGCACTCTTATATTTAAAGCCTGTTTGGTGTAGTGATTAAATTCTTCCTTAAGCTTAAAGTCAGCTGAGTGATCTTGGGCCAGTCACATCCTCTCAGCCCTAAGCAGACAGTGGCAAACCACTTCCAAATAAACCTTTGCTAAAAAAAACTTTTCCAGGTAGTTCCAGGAATCAACACTGACTTGGAGGCACAAAAACAAGCAAACTCACCCCTACTTTGTTTTCTTATTTTTTCCCTCTTGGCAGGATGGTTTCCCAATAAAAGTTCGTGAAATCCACATGATTAGAGAGCCTGGAATTTTTTACCATGTTTTTAATCTAATTAAGCATTTCCTCCCTGAAAAAATCAAAGCAAGGGTAAGTGAGCACAAATTTTTATTTGCTATGGAAATGATCCATTACTATCTCAGCACTCATCATATTTTCTTTTGAAATAAATACATCCATTCCATTTTGATTCAACAACTCTTTTATTATTTTAATTAATAGGGAGCCACATATACACCCGCCAGTGTATCAATTCAAAGCAAGTTCATAGATAAAGGTGTATGAATTTTGCTGAGTAGTTTCGAGTGAAATCATTATTTCCTGATGATAGGAATGTAAAAGATTCTTATCCCAAATATTGCTGGGAATACTTTAAAAAAAAATATCCAAGTAACCTAGTTCATATTTATTTCTTCCCAGGAAAAACAGTCCAACTCACTTTTGAAAATGTATAAAATAGCCCAGTCTCTGAGCCAGTGTTTCTCCACTTCAGCAACTTGTCTAGCTAAGGATTTCTTGGCACCAAAACCGACATAGCTTAAAGTTGTTGAATTTGATAAACACTGCTATTGGCTATTTCCTTATTTTCATAATAAAACTATACTACATGCTTGCAACATTGTGGATTTTTTTTTTCTGAAAGCCAGATTTTCCTTTGCATCACTTCCTGGAACAACCATGTAATCATTTAATACCACATAATAACATGAACATTCTTGAAGATGTGATTTCCATCTCTTATAAGTTTAAAATTCTATCCGTAGGTGGTCCAAAATATTTATTTCTGATATAAATCTGAGAGAATGGAGATCTTAGCCTACAAAGTAAAATGTATGACATTTATAACTGTATATTTCTTTCTGATAGTGTTAATTTTGACCTAAAGCTGTATTGGCTGGCTGGGGGGGGGGGGAGGATGGGAGAGGTATTTTCAGATGGAAGGCTGAAACAGGTTGCTTTCCTGTCTTGTCCACTTATCTCAAGTCCATATAACTTTATATAAATGTTCTGTATAGATTTCTGTTCATTGAATTGTAATCTTGAAAAGGTCTTTTTAGGCTTTCAGATCCAATCTCCTGGGTTAGTGCAGGAATCCATTTTCATGGTACCTTATTTCTAAATTTCATGTGATTATTTGAATTTTTTGCTTTGCAAAAAAAGAAAACTAGATTTTTATTTAGTTGTTTCTAATTTCAGCTGATAAATTGAATAAGACACTTGCTTTAACACTATTTTAAGTTAACAGTCGTCTTGGAAACTGATCTGTAGCTTAGCACAGTATTGTATATGAATCCAGATATTATCTCATTGCAGATCCATCTGCATGGGAATAACTTTGCACATGGGCTCCAGAAACATTTTCCAGCCAGCCTTCTCCCTGAAGAATATAATGGTGAAGCGGGTCCTTTTGAAGAATTTTCTAAAGAATTGATTGATATTTTAATGGAATCCACTGACTATCTTCAAAGTATTTCTCTTCTTGCATAGACCACTGACATGGAATAAACTATAACTGGAAGGCTCAGAAATACTTGATTATTAACCAGAATGAGGTGCTGATGAAGCTAATGCTTTAAGTTGCAGGAACCCCCATCCCCAAAAGAAACAATCAACTCCATTAGAAAAAAATTACAGATGCTTTTTGATGCTTTCAATCATCTGATGATTTTAGATAATGCAAAATTATTTTTTGGATCAATGTCAGGTGTTGTGATTTGAGGATAAGGTTACTAGAAAATAAAATGAGAAAGCCTTACAATACATGTACATTTTATGTGAAAGGGAATTGTTTGCTCCCTAGAAAATGTTACACAACTTCTAACTGTACCACCTGCTGAAATTCACCCTGCCAAAATGTAAATATAGCTTCTGCTGGATCAGAACAAATATTTTCATAGTAGCTAGCTAGATGCCATGGAGAAGCTGACAAGCATGGTAAAATACTAGTAAGCTGTTTCCTATGTTCATATATGTTTCTCAGATTTTTCCCTATTTTTACGCCTTCTGTGGAATAAGTATTTCTTTTATTCATTTTAGTGAAGTATTAATCTGCTGTTTCCTATGTTCATATCTGGGACTCAGACTTTTCTCTGTTATGCCTTCTGTGGAATAAGTATGTCTTTTATTCATTTTGGACTCCTTCTGAATGACACTGTATTCAAAATATTAATATGTGTATGTTTCCTCAACACCAAGCCTCTATGTTCAGTGGGTTCTTTCTCAGCACTACAAGTGTCTACTTAGAATTAAGTGCTATAGACTGTGTTGACATAAATCAAATTTACCAACCAAATTTACTAACATGTTATATCAAAACAGACACTATTAAGGTATAATGTTATAGTCTGGTTCACATAGGGGCACGATTTACTTGGTTTGTGCTTAGGAACTGTAGTCTAAAACACATACAATATGCTTTTAAACATTGTGTAAATATACCCATAGCTTTTAAAGGGAATTTCTCTCAGGTGAGCTTAGATGTTACTTCTTAATGCAAACAAAGGGATAATAAGCAGCTATGTATCAATTGGTATAGCAATTACTCTTTTTTACTATTTTTTTTTAAATTTAGCTTTTGTTCATGTAATTTAACTGTACTTGACATAATTCTCAAGAATATAAGTTTGGGAATTTCAAGAAAAGAAAAAAATCATAAAAATCATATTCATACTAGAAAGCCACCAATGCTACTCTAACAAAGGGCATACTATTATAGTAATGTGGACCAATATGTATCTGAATTAGATATGGAGGTTGGAAGTAGAAACGTTCCTCATTTTTAAAAATACTTTTTCAGACACTATAAAGGAGATATTTAATAAAGTACTCAGTTTGAAATAATGTGAAGGCAGTATATAGGCACACACAAATCTAAGCATCCTTATCTGTTTTGGATAACATTTTTAAGGGAAATCAGTTTAAGGCTACATTGTTACATTCATCTGAAAATAATTTTCATTTCGGTTTTCTAGGACTTTTGATCAGGTTTCATTCTTTTCTTTTGCAGAAGGAAGTAAGAGAGAGAAAAAGGAAGGGAAATAAGTATCAGGATGAGTTTGCAAAACCTTTTGTTTTAGGGAGGTTTCTCTTTCAGGGAATAGACTGAATTATATTCTTCCCTGCCCTCTATTGACCTCAAATAAGTCTTCTCAGTCACCAGGAGAACTGAAGGATTAAGAAAAAGATTATGTTTCAGTGCCCACCCAAAAGGTAGAGCTGGAACTCACAAAGACAAGTTCTGATAAGAAATCTTTATTGAAGAAAGGTTAGAAACTCATAAAGAAATCTAACAATGGCTGCCTTTTGTGAATAAGTTGTATGTATGGTAACAATATTCAAGCCCTTTTCTGACCTTTTCTCTTTACCTTACATAATGGGTCCCACCTCCCCTCTCCCTTCCTTTTGCACAGACAGGTTGCTTTCCATCTATGCCTTGTTTTTGCAGGAGTACGTTTGCTCAAATTGTTTTTCTCTGACTGTGAGTCTAATTTCAAAGGCACAAAGTCTTCTTGAAAAAAAGCAGACCCACAGAAAGCACTGGTTTTCAATGGGCTCCAGTGTCTGCACCTGCTTTTTGGAAAAAGTACAAAGTACTTGTACAAAGTACAAAGAGAAACAGAACTGGTTTGCAGAAGGACAGTGGCTTTAAGAAGGCCAAGATTATGTACTCTTTCTAACCTTGTAGTAAGCATAATTATTGCAGAATACTGCCCTGGAGTGCCAGCAAGCCTGCCAAAATGGCAGCCAGCATGTGTGGCTACCAGCTAAGAAGTAGAAGAAGAATCCATGAATGCAGAAAGATGGCAGAATTGAATAACTGGAGAGCTTTTCCAGCGAATCTTTCTAGAGTTTCCAAGTTAGAATTCCTTGTATGGTACAACATCAACAGATGATTTCCATCAATAGCCTACAGAGGGATGCTTGAACAACATCTTGTCCACTTCACTTGCATGATCCAAAATTCTAGTGGAAACAACCAGTATGGAAAACATTGAAAGTAAAGGCAAAGTCATGTACAACAACGTTTCTCAACCCTGGCCACTTCAAGATGTGTAGATTTCAACTTCCATGTTGGCTGGGAAGTTCTGGGAATTGAAGTCTACACATTTTAAAGTTGCCAAGGTTGAAAAACAGTGCTCTACAGTGTTACGATATTTTCTCTCAGATAAGCATGCAAAGTAATTTCTTAACAGAAAAAAAATTCAGTGGCAACTAAGATAACACTCTAATGAGTAAAAACATATATGTATGTATGTATGTATGTATGTATGTATGTATGTATGTATGTTTGCTGCATTCAGAAAATTCATGCTGCTGAATTTTCTGGGCATCTATCATGCTTTCCTATTCTGATTATAATTTTTTTTAGTAATGTTAACGTTTATATTTCTGTGGGAAAGGGATTTTGCAGACAAAGACTATTTTCCAAATTTGTTAAGTTAGCTAAAAAGCTGAAGGCAAATATTTTAAAGTTGTAAGCATAAGCACTTTCCTTGGAGCAAAGCCCATAAGAACAATGGGATTTAGCATACATGAAATTGCAGTATAAAGAAATCAGTTAACTCAGTAATGATAAACTTTAAATGCTGGTGTTATACTGTATTTTATATTTGTCTTTTGCAATTCTACTATGCAGTTTGTTTTTTATAAAAGTTACTCTGGGTATTTTTAACTGAAAGGTTGAAAACTATTAACATATAATAAAGTATTAATAATATTATAAAGCCTTTTATAGATCCTTTTAATAAATGTCTTTTATTCAGTAAGTTTTGGATTATATTCATACAATATTGAATATCTTCTAACTGGATGAGCAAAGAACTTTGAATTCTTTGATATATGCTTCTCACTTAGCATTTGCCCTAAATGGCTATTGTCATTTGTTCAGCATACAAGTTCCTCTGTGTGCAGTACGTTCTTATGTAATGTGTGTGTGTGTGTCTGTATGTGTCTGTGTAAAATATACTTTTGAAGCTACTCAACATCCTATGTTTGCACACTATGTATGGAGCAGAACAAGTGCCCATGCCAGTTAGTAGTTGACATGGGAAAGTGTGTCATTCTGACTGACTCAAATCTTACTTATGCCCCCAACTTCTGATTTGCAATGGTCATGAGGCTTCATTATGCATTCCTTCATAATGTAAAATTGACTCTTGCTCAGAGAGAATGACTGTTTATATTTCAGCAGTTTTGTCTTGTGACTGTAGGGTTCCGGGGACAATGGCAATTTTCTGGAAGTTGTTTATGGCATTATGAACACAGATAATTGGCAACCCCAAAGCTGATCTTAATCATACTGGCTTGCCACTGCATTTATTTATTTTAAATTAAATTCAAAGGTCACCCAACTGCAGATGTCTCTATGCAGCTTACTGTTTAAAAAGTAAGAAAACAATAAAGCAGGAAAAAAGAACCACAGATATCCAGAAGTTCATACTATACAGTACAATAGGAAACAAGCAGAAACTAATGCTTCAGACACTGTTGTTAATCTTTTTTTTTACCAAAGAAGAACAGATAAGCCACATAAAGCCATAATATATAAATTTATGTATGATTCTCCCTTCCTTTTAGAGAGTTGCATATGATCAAACCAGTTTTTATTATTCATTGACAGATTTCTGTGGGACACAACTATGTTTCACATGGGAAGGATGCATCATGCTACTGGCTATCCTTACTCTAAAATATACTTCCCTATCTTCTCTCTTCTTTTCACATGGATAACCAAGATATGAATCAAGATGGCATATCACTAGTATGTGAAATCTGAGCTGCCAAAATCTGGTTGTAGTAATAGCATTTAGACTTATATACTGCTTCATGATGCTTTATGGCCCTCTCTAAGTGGTTTCCAAGTCAGCATGTTGCCCCCAACAACCTGGGTCCTCATTTTTACCTACCTTGGAAGGATTGAAGTCAACCTTCATATCGTTAGATGGCAACAAAAAGACTCAGAAAACAAACTAAGAGGTTACTCTGGGGAAGGACATCTAGGCTGCTGCTTTTAACATGCTTTCCTGTAATCCATATAATGGCATAATTTGGTTTGTCCCAATAGCTGAAATCTAATCTGTCAATTAACAACAACAACAAATCTGTCCAGGTAAAGGCCAATAAAGAGTGCTGTGGGTCAACTTAAGCAAAGTAGATTTCTGTTATTTTGGGGGATGGGGGTGGGAAGTCCTAACTCAGGTGCTGTAGCTCCTATATACCTTATGCCTTGTGCAGTTGTTCACTCTTTGTATTTCTTGTGCTCTTTTTCATCTTTCTCCTTTTTCTTCTGCTACATCATCACCATGTCACCACAAAAGTGCACTGGTTGTGCAACCCACTTCCCAATGCACCCGTGATGTTACCAAATCTGATAATGAAATTTTTGCAAGAAGAAAAGGAAGCCAAGAAAACGTAAAAATGCAGCGTATGGAGATGCCCATCATCCTAGCAATACAGCAACAGCAACTTCTAGTAATGCTGAAACTTTAATATCTTATTAAAACACATGTTCATGCACCCAGAGGTTGTCAGTGTGGCGGTGTTTAACTCCAACTTTTCAAAAATGTTAGTTTGCCACATATATTGTGTGTGAAATCCACATTTAAATTTTCCCATTCATTTAAATTTAACTTATTGAAAAATAGGTTACACATTATGCACATTAATGAGCAGTCTATTTAAATGTACTAAGTAATGCACATATTCTTGTACAGCATGTAAGAACCAATTTAAGAATCCATGCTAAACTTTATACTACCCTTTTATTACTTATTACTACTTTTACTCTTACTTATTACTGCTCATTTTATTAGTTTTTTCTGTTTGTATGGCCACTATTATTAGTCTGCACTCTATTACTTGCAGCCATTGACCGACGATGTTTGTACACTTAAGCTATGATGAAGTCACCTATTTCAATGCCATTTATATAATCAATTTTGAGGATAGTTGTTTGGAAGGTTTTCTTAACTTTCACGGAATTTTCCTACTTCTTGCGCGGGCAGAAAAACCCATTCCCCAATAAGTCTTTTGGAGCTCTGTAACATCTACACAAATCTTTTTCATTTATTCTTCATTTAAAACAACTTTCACTGAGAAATAACAACATGACACTTTCAGAGGGAAGGGAAAAGGACGTTTCCTCTAGACTACATTTCCCAGCGTGCCATGGGCGGCGGAGAGACATCACGAGTGGGCGGGGTTGCAATAGCTGGCTGGCGCCTGAGTGTTGGAGCTCTTCTGCAGAGAGAGTTCATTTCGACAACTGAGCTGAGTTGCAGTGAACTGGGCGAATGCCAGCCATGGCGAGAGGGCTGCAAGTTTGCGGGACTTGGGGGCTTCTCGCCTTCTGCTGCTGCTCCGCGGTCTCCTTTGTGCTGCGGAGTGAGAACGAGCGACCGATTATTGGTAAGTAGAAGGGCGTTGATATTGCAGGAGCAGCGAAGACGACAGTTAACCACCCAGGACTTCGTTCGGTGTTAAGAAAGAGAAAAATCAGGGGGCGTGTTTCTGCATGAATGTCTGTCTGAATATCTGGGTGTCTGAATTGGCCTTTACGTGTGTGTGTGTGTGTGTGTGTGTGTGTGTGTGTGTGAGAGAGAGAGAGAGAGAGAGAGCTTTAGCTTTTTATAATGTTCGTTGTCGCTATGTGGTATAAATGAAAGCATTTTCTAAATCTTCACTGTGATTTTTCTCTTGACTGGTTACCAGAAAGAAAACCTGGTTGCCCTTAAAGTTAATCCTTATTTCGGCTAGCAAATTTGTTCCTCCCATTGAAATCCGTTATATTGGCTTCTCGGAAGAAGTGCTAAGGCGTGAATGGGATATCTTGATGGGTGTGTTGTTATTCTACCGTTTTTTCCCTGCTGTGCCAATATTTAAAAAAAGGGAACATAACCTCCGACGAATGTGGTTGAAGATAGGTTAGAATAATGAATTTTAATTTTTAAAATAATTAGCTTAGATGAAACAATGCATAATAAATATGAAATGAAATATTTGTGATTCGTTCTTGGATCTTGAGAATTCCTTGGAGTGATAAAAGATTCATTCGTACTGAAATATTTGGAGCATATACCCAGCTACTATTCTAGAATCTAGACCAAGGATGCTGCTGGAAAGAACAGTAGAAAAGAAAGGCAATGGGAGATGGCACAGAGACAGTTGGAGTAGCAATGCACATAAACTCAATTGCTCTAAGTTGTGAAGCAGGTGCAAAAATGACAAAGAAATGAACTCAATACATAATACCAATCATTGCCTTCTAGAATGAGAAAGCACTTGGACTGATCTGACTGAATTGATCCAAAATTATTTCATTGTCCAGATATTTTCTTTTCAGTTTTACATCATCAAATGCTTTTTTTGGATCCTGATAAGAAACATAATGGGATAGTGATAAATGGCAAATTAAGATTTGCAACTTGCAACCAAAGGCCTGAAATAAATATATGGACACATACCAGCTATAAAGACATTGATCTACAACTCCACCCAGTTTAGCCCAAAAGTTTATTACTTCCATTTTTAGTTATCATTAAAAACTCAATTACTACAGCTATGCATGTTTTGAAAATGATGTGGAAAAATTGCCTGTTTTGATCAAGAGGATTCATGTAAAGTCTGAAATATTTGGAGTTTATGCAAATAATTCTTTTAAGCGTGTACAAATGCTGTTATTCATCTATCCAGGAGAAATACACCAGGATGGTCACCTGAGCTTATTTTGAATAGAGACAGCATTATTATAGAACAGGCTTATCTATGAATCTTATCTGTGTGGTTGCCAAGAGTTGGCATTGATTTGGTGACAAAAATCCCTAACAACTCACTGGGGTTTATACGTGCATTGCTCATATATCTGAGGAACTGTTCAGTTGTTGGAGCAGTTGCTTTTGGCCTTGGTCAGTTCCTTCCCTTTGGGAATTCTGGAGAAAATTAACTCTTTATCAATGACAGACAATTTTTACATAGACAATTTATTTATACAGTAAATGTCAGTGAACAGTCAACCCCAGACACTGACTCATCCTGGTGAAATTCTGTGAACAAAGTCTGTGAACTTTGTGCTTGATTAGATGACTTTATGTGTTTTTAGCTACAGTGGATTTTGCTGAAATAAAACAGATCTGATACTAGATAGTCTTTTAGGTGTTGCTGTTTTATAATTCCTGGTAGTCCAACTTGCATGGCAGTAATGAAGAATGCAAGTTTTATATTTAGGCATCATTTAGGAGATAGCTGTTCACTACCCTTCTCTAAAAATAGAATAAGGCTATAAAAGAAAGGATGAATATCTTATAGTGGTTATAGTGGGTAAACATTCTCCTATAATTAATCAACATTCATATGAGCAGAGATTAACATCAAAATTAACTCTAGACCAACAATCAAAAAGTAAACAATACCCCAATCAAGGAAGGACATAGACAAATAAGCTAATAGTAAACAACAGCCTAATCCAGGAACCAGCCCATCAAGATTAACAGGGCAAACCACTAACATAAAATATATATAAAAATAAGAGCAAACCCCAGTCCTTTCTAGCATTGATGATGTTATCTAGTTTGGGTAATGAAATATCTGCAAGAAAACCACCACGCTCAGAGATCAAGTTTTGAAGTTCAAGTACAAAGTGTTTTTTTATAAAATATTTTATAACATAATACAAAATATCAATTGTTTTAGTATTGTATTGTATTTCTACAAATAACCCTGCTGCCTTTCAGATATTTTGAGCTATAATTACAATAATTCCATAGTATCTGAGAATTATGGAAGTTGTAGTCAATACATCTATTGTACTGGCTCCTATTGTATTGGCATCAAATATATGGTAGAGGTAAATAGTTAAATAAAAGTATTATATACTGTTGATTTTTAGTACAGATAGTCCTTGACTTACAATAGTCCTTGAGTGACTTAGTACAGATAGTCCTTTAGTGACTGTTCAAAGTTACAATGGCACTGGAAAAAGTGACTTATAACCATTTTTCACACTTATGACCATTACTGTATCCCCACTGCAGCATCCCCATTTTGATCACATGATCAACATTCAGACACTTGGCAACTGACTCATATTTATGACGTTTGCGGTGTCCCAGAGTCATGTGATCATCTTTTGCGACCTTCTGACAAGCAAAGTCGATGAGGAAGCCAGATTCACTTAACAATTGTGTTACTAACTTAAAAATTACTGTGATTCGCTTAACAGCTATGGCAAGAAAGATAATAAAATGAGTAGAACTCACTTAACAACTGTCTCATTTAGCAACAGAAATTTGGGGCTCAATTGTGGTCGTAAGTTGAGGATTACCTGTATCAGTTTAAAGTAGATTTATAAAATTGTTAGTGATTTTAATCTGTTCCTATTTAAAGTTGTTTTATTTCTTACCACCTCTTTACTGTGTCACTGACATCTTGGAATGAAGATGTGTCGTCAGGCTGTTGAGTTGATATATCGGAATGTTTTGAGCAGATGACTTTTTCTAATGGTTGTGCAATGGATCATGCTGTGTCATTGCATAATTTACTGGAAAATATTGAAAGGATTTCACTTTGTTCTGCCATGCATCCTAAGTAAAAAAAAAAAGAGAATGCCCAATTTCTTTCTTAGTAGCAATATAGCAAACATGTACCACAAATGGTGAAATAATAATTACTGAAATTTGCTTTCTTTGTACTAAATTTTGAAGAGCAAAGCTAGTCAAAAATAAAGGCATTTCATATTTAAGCAATCTGGTTTTCTAAAAGTATTTAAAAGTTAATGGCAACCAAGTGGTCTGACCAAAGTTTCTAGAACTCCAGTCAGCATGACCCAAATTATCATCCTGGCTGGAAATGAAACGCTATAGTCCAAAAGATTTGAAAAGCACCAAGTTGAAAATGGTCCATTTTTTATGCTATGTATTCTACTGTTCACCTCTGAAAGAAATAATTTGATGTATGTGCATTATAGATTTATATTGTTTTTGTTAAAGCCATTTCACATTTCTCATATAGAAAGTTTCAGGGTAAGATGTGTTTGTCTTTTTGTCACTTTCTTGATTTTGCATAATTTCACTAAAATGCTGTTTTGAATAGCAAATTATAATGATTTGGCTTTGTCAAATAGCCCCAGATATGGACATGTTCTCAATTCTCTGTAGAAATATGAGATTTTCTATTGCACAATGACAACATGTGATGCTGACTTAGATTTATTCTTGAAAGGATTCAGGAAATTATTGAATACTGTGAAATATATAAATTAGTATAGTTCTACTATTTTATCATCAGCCTCTATGTACTAGTCTTAAGAATGGCACAAATATATAATATATATTGTCTCTTTTTCTGGATGGTTTAGGAATATTAGCTCAGGAAACTTCTAAAAATTTTCAAAAGTTTGGAAGTTCTTATATTGCTGCTTCTTATGTGAAATTCATCGAATCAGCTGGAGCAAGAGTAGTACCAGTAAGGTAAGCTGCTAAGAACTACATGCTCACATGATATGCTAGTCATAACAAACATATAATTAAATTTATCTTCAAGATGTCATGTGATACTGAATAATGTAGCACAGAAACTTACTTAGGATTTAATATTCAGTGTTGGGGAATTGGAAGCAGCTGTTGTAAATAAGCTGCTTAAGAACTATAACATCGGTCTTCAGGGCTGGAATTAAATAATATTTTCTTGATGTGATTGCACTCATACATGATGTCATATGTAGTAATTAGAGTCTTGAACTAGGAATGGGAATATCTACGTTCCATTTGCTAGTCAGAAACTCACCATAGTCAAAAGTGGCCTCACGCTGTTCTCCGACAAGCTGATAAGTTTATTGGGCCGGACTCTTGCCTTTGCTGCGTCTCAGCAGGAAGCAGCATCTCTCCCTCTCCCCCCCCCCCCTCTCTCTCTCTCTCTCTCTCTCTCTCTCTCTCTCTCCCTCCCTCCCTCCCTCCCTCCCTCCCTCCTCCTTTCTCTCTCTCTCACTGAATGGGGGAAGAGGACTGGCAGACCAAGGGCAGGAGAGAGCTAGCCCAATAAGAATGTGTGTCAGCTTGTCGGAGAACAGCGTGAAGCCAGCTTGCCAGGTGAGCAGAAGATCGGAGAGAGGGAGAGAGAGGGAGGAGAGAGAGAGGGAGGGAGACAAAGAGAGGGAGGGAAACAAAGGGAGAGGGAGGGAGGGAGGGAGGGAGAGAGAGAGAGAGAGATAGAGAGAGAGAACTCTTGCACAGCAGCCTCTATTTCTTTTTAATTAAACTCTTCAATCAAGCTCCCCCCCTTGCGCGTGTGCAAGTTTTGCAGCTCCCAGTGTTTTCTTTTCTCTGGGAAACGGGTCCAAGTGGCTCTTTGAGTGCTTAAGGTTGCCGACCCCTGCCCTAGGTGATCCAGTGATCAATTTGAATTCAGGCTTCCCCCATCATAATCCATATGTGTAGTTCATTTCGCTTTCTAGTAAATCTGCTATGAGAAGGATAGTAAACTTTATTTTGGGTAGTTGATTCTTATAAAGTTTATATTAGATCCAGGTGTTACTAAAGATGAATTTTATTTGCATTTAGTGACTAAGACAATTAAAATCTGACATTGGAATAATATATACTTATGGTAGAACATTTCATTGTAATTATTATAGATTGAATCGTTCCAATGAAGAGTATGATGAGATATTCCATTCTATAAATGGGTAAGTATACCAGTATGTTTATTATCATGCAGTAGTAAGGAGCATCAGGATATCAAAGAAGATACTGAAGATCTTGATCTATTTCCAGCCAGGAAAAATCATAGGATGACTATTATGAAGAATAGTCTACCTTATAAGGAAGATGGTGAGAAAATTTGTAAAGTACTTGACAAATAAAAAAAATATTGAGAGTAATAAATTGTAGAAATGCAAATAGGATTATATCAGTGACCCTTTAGCAACAATTTAATAATGCAGGGAGTTTGGAATTGTGATCTCTGAAGGACTGAATATTGCCTAGCCCAAAGTTAAAATATATGTCCAGAATGGTGGTTCATCTGTTTTGCTGGCTCTTTTAATAAATGTAACATTGATTGCTCCTGAAAAATAGTCTAGTCTGCATTTAAAATAAGTGCAGACTAGAACTGTGAAGATCTTTGTTAGATCTTTGGACTTTTAGAGCAGTAAACTTGAAACTATAGTGTTATTGAAAAAGAAGCTGAACTAAAGCTTAAGTTGCACTTACTGGTAGTCTGTTGTATATCTTAAAACTTCTTCCTTCATACCCTCATTTAACTGAGATCAGCAGGGATTTTGTTCTTGATAATAAAATTGTAACCATGTTTTCTTAGAATACTTTTTCCAGGAGGTGGTGTTTCTCTTAAAACTTCTGAATTTTCCAGAGTGGCTAAAATATTCTATAAAAAAGCATTAGAGGTAAGTGTTCCTGCATTCAAATCAAGCTGCATTAACGTTTGAGACATGAAGGCTGTAGATGATTCATGTTTACACAATTTTCAGCTTGCATAACCTTGTCAATAGAGGTGTGTGTGCTTCAACTGATTTATTCATGATGTAAAACAGGATTATCTTGATTAGTGTGTGATACATGTAAATTAAATAGTTCTGATAGATGCATTTCAAAAATAAATCCTATTATTGTAAAACGGCATATTAAATTCTTTTTGTCCATAGCCTCTTTTTAGTCTGTATTAGTTTAATCACTGAACAGAACACTGCATGCACGAATTGGGTGAATCTTTGCTTATGTTTCTGCTAATTAGAAACAACTGGACGTTGTTCTTTGAAAAGAAAATATGTCAGTTCAATTAACAAAACCTACTTGTGGAGTGATTGCCCACAATCATCTACTCTGTTCTCAAAGCTACAGTTGTGTTAATTTAATTTTGCTTGTTTGCTTGATTTATATCCCCTTTTTCCTCTAGTTGCTCAAGGTAAAATATTTTCCCTCATGTCTAGACTGCTTTGTCATTATAATGGAGAATGAAGGTTTTCCTACCTGGATGGTTTTGGAGGTCAAATATAGTTCTAATGTGATCATTGCTGATAGGGATTGATGGATGTTATAATTCAAAATGTTTAGTGACTAGTCTAGGTTTTGTGTATTGATCTAGGCGTTTTTTCCCATTGCCATTTTCTAGGCCAATGACAGAGAAGATTATTTTCCCATTTGGGGGACATGCCTGGGACACCAGTTGCTCACCTATCTCACGAGTGGAGAAAACCTGCTCATCCGGACAAATACAAATGGGTTTACAATGTCACTGAATTTTACCCAAGGTGAAAATTCACAAGTTTTAGCCAACAGAACATGTCTAAGTTCTGCTGGGGATCATAGAATTGATACATTAATGAATTCTGAAGCTCAGTGAAGTAGTAGTTTGAGGAATGCATGACACAGGACAGTTAATTTTTTTCCCCTATGAAGGTGAACAGAATAGCTACATTTTCTCAGCTCTTTGTCGTTGAAATGCAATAAGAATTCTTGACAGAACTCAGGATATTCAGTAATTCTTCCTAATAATGTAGCATTTTCAGTGGTAAAGAAGAGAAGGGTATATTTGTGGGTGGGAGTAGCAGTGACTTTCTGCCTCTATCTTGTGGCTAACTCCTGAAGAGCTGGTCCAAATCTAGTGCAACCCAAAAGTAGCCAACCTCAATGCTGATAATCTCTTTTCGCTATAGTAACAGAAGTTTCTGCTTGTTCAGAATAGAAAGAGGAAAAAGGCACTTATATCGTACATTCCATCTAATGACAGCAGTACTGAGTTAGGAACAATGCAATGTAACACTAGCTCCCTAGTGTTGTGATACTCATTTCTTCAGAAATATATGGGCTATCATTTTCTTGATTAAATTTAAAAGCTGTTTATAAAGAATTGTTTTAAAATATATGTTAAAGACAATATATTTGAATAATCATGACACTAATATTTTCAGTGTATAAAACCTGAATGAAGCATAAGAAACTTTAGAGTCCCATTCAGGCTTTCATTATCTATCTTTCATTATCACTATCTTCATATGTAAGCATGTCATATAAGTTCCTCTGGACTGGCTGCTGGGCATAATCAAACATTTGACACAAATGTTTGCAGCAGGAAGGGTTAAGTAGCCATCTGCCTAAGAAGGACAGAGGCCTGACTTAGGTCTGCAGTCCAAATCTGAGCAAACAAAAGAGTGTCCTGCAGTCAGCTGGCAATATTGGTTGACACAACTCAGTAAAGCATAGGGTGAGATATTGCATTTTGACTTAGCAGGTTGGTGAACATAACAACTACGGTTTACAAATTGTGGCACGTAGCCTAGCCTAGAATTTGAACCTAATTATTGCTCTTCTTGATGTTGATGAGTGGTGTTTCATTTTGTTTTGCTTTGGCATAAGCTTCAAACCACAGTAGGATGTTCCAGGATTTTCCTGAAGAGATATATGAACTGTTAGCTTCAGAGCCTGTATCTTCACACTTTCATTCCTGGAGCCTATCTATGCAGGTAATTTCTTATCAATTATGGTCAAAGACTAGCATAAGGAGGGTGGGGTACAAGAAATGTAAAAGCATAAAAAATATAAAATGCAAAGTTAAAATTACATACGAAACTAAAAAAAATCTAAAAAGTCTAAAAGGAGGGGTAGGAGCAATAAATGGGCATAAAAAAGCCTGGCAGTCAATCTATCATAATACAATATACTCTATAATAATGGTCTATCTGCCCATTAAAACTGATTTGTGGCATAGGTTTGACATAATTTTAAGTGTGCAGAATCTGGCACCATTGTATATTGTATCAGGATTGGTATCTGAGAAAGCAGGGAGATGTAGAATTGTATCCTGGATATGTATGCAATAATGGTGAAATGAGGCTAGTATGAATATCACTGTAATATAAGCACTGTAGAAGTACATGTTCTGTAGTTTCTATATGTCCAGGGTCACAGAAACATTATATTTTGGGGTAAGGAATCTTCTTGTATTAGTTTTCAAGTACGGCTGAGGGGAACCCTGACATTGTGTCAGAGTAAAGGCCCTTAAGTGGTTAGGTACTTAAAGATTAGTTAAATATGCTTTGGGGGAAGTAGAGTACCTATTAGACTCATTGTTGACAAATGTTGGGAACCTGGCTAGGTCCAATTAGTACTCTGCATCTGATAAATGCTGTTTCATGAGAACTTTGGTCTGATCATGTCCCATGCTGAACAGAAGGAAAGAATCCCAAAGATGATATTTTAGTTGTTACTGGTTTTTTTCCATATGAACTGAAAATCATCCATCTAGTTATTTGAGCAGGATCAAGAGAGAGAAATAGTAGTCTACCCAGTAATTGAGTATGATTGCCTACACTCTAGCCTCTACTTTCATGAGACCTGTCTCTGGTCTCAAGGTGCATTACAGACACATTAGGGGTGGTGAAGGGCCAAACTTAGGAATTTGGACTGAATAAGTTCTAATGGTGCAAAGTTGAAGAAGGGATCCAGTTGGGCACCAGAGAGAAATTGTTCTATTGGCTTATCCTTAATAAAATGATGCAGATAAAAATGTCCACTTTTAAAAACTTTTAAATCACATTTTAATTACCTTTTTTTTACAGAATTACACAAAAAATAAGAAACTGCGCAACTTTTATAAGATTTTAACAACTAATTTTCATAATGTGGAGTTCATATCTACCATGGAAGGTAATAATCTAATTAGCCTCTAAATGCTATTTATAACTAAAAATTGTAGATATTGGTGAAATCCAGTAAAGTTTTTGCACTGACAAAATGGTGGAATAGGTTTTCTCTTTCTTTTCTACCATCTTCAAAACATCTCTAGAAACTGTTATGGTCACATAAAGAAGCGGGACAGAAAATCTCATTTATTCAAATAATATAAGATTGATTCCAGATGTTATTCTGCCTCTATCTTTTCCTTATATATTTAAAACTGCAAGGTGTGTATTATGAGGTCATTGCATTCCACTGTTCTATTTCTACAAATAAAACAAAGGAGAATTAGAAAACATGCAACAGAATGATATAATTTTACAGATTTTCCATTAGTGGAGGAAATAGGAAAGCTAAAAAAAACATGACTCTGAAATTTTCTGTGGCCATCATCTGTTCTCCCTGATTTATATACTTTCAGATGTGTCTAACTAAAACTCTTTATCATGCTCTTATGCTTATATTGCTGGAAGTTAATGTAAATTGTACTTCACCAAGAAGACAGTTGCAAATGTTCTTATATTCAGTGGCAGTATATTATTCTTTAGCTTTCAGATTATTGGTAGACGAAAGAGTGTTATCAAATTGGAATTATATTGTTAATTTATATTAGTTTAATTAGTTAAATTAGTAATATATGTCACTATTTCTTAATTGCCCTTTTAAAAGAGTTGTTGAAAGCTCTATGTTCAACAGGACCATAATTTAGCAATAGAACACTAACTTCTAACTTTTTAGTTTAAAAATGATCATAGTTCAAGTGATCAAGTGAGCAGAGAAGCTACTGCCAAAACAGACAATACTGGAATAGATGGCACAGTGGTCTCTGGTCTGTATTCTTATTTTCAAAGAGTAGCCCTGTTAGTCTTGTCTATCAAGACTGAAAAGAGACATTGTCACAAAAGCTTCTGTAATAAGAATTCACTTCATTGTATCCATTTTGACAACGCAGACTCTTAATTTATGAAAATTTATTGAGCAGTACATTCGTTGATAATTTTGAGATTCTGCTCTTTGTTCCTATTTATCTATTTACTAAGTTTTATTTATTAAATTTATATGCATCTTGCCATCAAGCAATCTTAGTTTCAAGATCCTCAAATAACTGTCTCTGAAGATGATAGAGGGTAATTTTGGTGTTCAACTGTTGTATGATTGTTAAGGCTATTCTGTTTTTGTAGCTTACAGTTACCCTATTTATGGTGTCCAGTGGCATCCAGAAAAAAATCCATTTGAATGGAAAAATTCAACTGGCATTCCACATTCCTCAGCATCTATAAAAGTAACATTTTTCCTAGCTGATTTCTTTGTCAATGAAGGTATGTACCTTAGTAAGAGATATGGGTGGAAATGATAAAACATTTCTTTAAAAAAGAGAGAGAAAAGACAAGGGTCATTATGTTTTGCCATTGTTTGTGCTGCAAATATGAAATTCATATTAATGGAATATTTGTTGACAATGTAGCATATTTCATAGATTGTATTTTTATTGCTAGACTAAATGGCTAGATATTGAGGCTGCAATATTGAAAATTTTACTCTTACTTCAACTGCACTGAGCTCAAAAGACTTATTCCACAATAACTTCTGACCAGCTGCTTGTCTTTTGTGAAAAGGCCATCTACCTTTTACCCACTATAAAGCTGAGATTTTACCAATGCTAATTTCAGCCAAATAAATTTCTCCTTTAAATATGGTGATTCAGAAAAACCTACAGGGAGGGAAGGTTGAAAGAAAAAAGAGTTTAAATATGGGACATATCTTCTAAACTGTAAACTCTGGAGGTTTCTGGATTATATTTAGCATTAAGCATAATGTTAACAAAAGAATTGGGATTGCACAAGATGATAACATGAAATAATTCATATATCTCTAATATTTTGCAGCCCGGAAGAGCAATCACCATTTTTCGAGCAAAAAGGCTGAAACCAATGCACTGATTTATAATTTTAATCCTGTTTTCACTGGGACCTTTTCATCTTTTGATCAAGCTTACTTTTTTGATTAAATTTCCAGCCCGAAGAAGAACATAAGTAGATTTTAAAATGATTTGATCTTTCTGTTTAAATTGAAACAGTGTATTGTACTGCAAAGGCAAAAAATCAGATTGTGTGTAGCTCTTTGTAGAACTTATCCTTTCCATTCCTTTCTGTAGAATCACTCCTTATATTCCAAAGTGAGTTTGTGAAAAGCTTCTGCATCAACTTGAGACTAAAAATCTTGTTGTGAAAGCCCTGAATTCCACGAAGCTTGTACAGGAATAGTTCTAAGTGTCCCTAATAACTGTTCAATTCAAGCACAAAGGATATGACTCCCTTATGGGTTAAATAAATAGGAATGGAGCAGCACTTGTTGGTTTGGGGGTTACAGTAAATCACACAGGATTTGAGTTACCATTTCATATTATTACATGCTTGGAGAAGAGGGGACAAGGTCTGCAGAAGTGTTTGCCTGACCCTCAGTAGAACTGTCATTGCTCTGGTCTTTATCATATCTGAACACCCTAGCATTATATGGATTTTATCTTTAGACTATGTCTAAAGATTTTATTTGTGTGACTGAGAAATTGCACTTAACTATTTGTGCTCATTTAAAATTCTTATTTAATGGGAAAAATTGAAGAGGATGGCCTTCATGTGAATGGGAGTGATGACTTTTCCCTTTGATCAAAGAACATCTACTACACTTGTTTCTGCCTATTAAGAAACAGTTTGATATGAAAAATTCTCAGGTAACCCATTCTTGAACAAAAGACAAAGTTTCTCCTTGGACACACAAAGGAGACAGTTTTCCACATTCTGAGCCTCTCACTGGAATGCCTTTTTAATCTCATATCTTCAACCTGCCAATTGCTATCAAGTCCCTTCCTTTTCTTATATGTCTCTGTATCCTAGCATGTTGTTTTAGTGTTTGGAGTACATATCATCAGCCACCCAAACAATGTTGTATTTTTTTTTAATCCCTTTTCTGAGATCCCCTTCTTTGATATATCTTTCTTGGAATAATGTAGCACAATAAAAATGATTTTGCTCTTCTTTTAAAGAAACAAATTCACTGATATATCTTCTACAGGTTTATTATTATTATACAGATAGATGATTCTGAGCCTCATTAGTTTCCCCTTCCCTACCTTTTAATCACCTTCCTTGCTTTCTACTCATAATCACTTCCTGTGTGATCCAAGCACTTTAAACCGATTGGATTTGTATAATGCTGTGGAGATAACTGATACTAAGTACAGCTATTGTTTCATGGAAACTGAAGCCCAGTACATTTGAGAGGCATCTTCTTATGAAAGGTTGAGTTAAACCTTCACTTCGGGCAGCATTTTCCCTTATGCTCTGTCAGCTGGTAACCTCATGAGTCACTTGAATAGGCAGGACCAATATTTTCAGATGCATTTTTGTGTTTGAGAATGCTTATAAAGTTTCAGATAGCATTTTATTTCCTAAAACTACCCATGATGAGGAAAAAAAACACTCACTTTGCCTCAGCAATATCCCAGTCCCCCCTCAAAATAGAATCTTAACATTTCAGGTTGATCCATTCTGAAAGCCATAAAGCAATTGCTGGAGAATGACTTTCATCTCATTTCAGGATTCTATCAATCAGTTAATATCATTTATCTAGATAAATGGTGCTTGAGATTTTCTATTTTAAATACTGTTTTGTACAAAAATTTGAAGATCAGAGAATCCTTTTAAGATGTCATCTTATTTTAGGAGAGACTAATTTTCCCCATAAAGTTTTTGGCTTTATTTACAATTATTGCAGTTAAAATCTGTGGTTTTCTAAGATTTGTCATAACTGTTTAATAACTAAGGTGCTAAATATTTTTAGAGGCAGTTGTGGATTTTTATCTACATTATCCTAAGTACTGAAATAAAACATTCCAATTTACCAAATATTAATAGGGTTTTCATATAGGGCAATAAATATGCAAATTTGGAAAACTAAATCTATTTTGATATATAGATTAAATATTTGTGACAAATTCTTTTCTTGGGTAAAATATTATGCTAATATCATAAATATATGGGTGTCTGCAAGTGTGGCCTATGGGGAAAAAACCTCATAGATTTTTCCCTGTAGTTTTCTTTACATAAGTGAATATAAAAACCTTTCATGTTGATGATGCTATTAATGTGAGTTCAAGATCAGCCTTTTTCAAAAATATGTAGGATTATTATTGTCTTTTTATAATTGCACTTTTTGTATATACATTTCATTAATATATGCCAAAGTAATATAAGCCAAAATATTCACACCATAGCCTATGGACCAGGCATGATCCATAAACTGTGCTGTTATTTGTTTTTTGTTGTTGTTTTGCAGCTTTTCTGATTACAGTGATTACACAAAATTGATGAGATCTTCAAAACTTGAAATAAAGATGAATGTGTTAAGTTTTAGAATGGTCTTTAAAAAATTGCAATGCACCTTTATTTGCCATCCCACCCCACTCAATATTATTGTGGTCCTTTGGGCTGATAAAAAACTTGGTCCCAGTACGCTGAGACCAAACCTGAATGACTAAATGAGAGGAAATAAATGTGAATGTATTTTAATTGTTACATAGTTTGTTTAATTTAATGCAGTTATTCAATTTTGTTTTTTCACTATATGACTTTGAGCATATGGCCTTGTATTTATGTTTATTGCTGTATAATAAAGGAAATGCAATTTAATAGTGCTTTTAAGAATGAAATGTGTACATTTTTTGCTACTGTACCTTCTTAGCATGTCTGCATGCTAAGTACCCTTGCTACTCCATGTGGGTAATTTTGATCATTGAAAAGGGGAAGAAGAGAAGATGGCTAATTCAGATGTTTAAGAAATAGTATTTATAGCTTTAATTTGAGAGTTGCTTCTAGCTCTTGCTGCTAGATCTAATCTAATTTATTACTAAACTAATGTAATTAGTTTCTAATGCAGGATTTGCACAGGAAAGTGATAGGTTCCAACTGTCAAATGTTTGAAGCCTTCAAGGATCAGGATTTTTCACTAGTATAAAATGTAAACCATCTAACTAAGCAACTAGGCACAAATTTTTCTTGTTTGCTTATTGGGTTAGAATATCTTTTTTATTATTATTATAAGAATGTCAAATCTAAAACTACCAAACTGAGGTTTATGTTTACTGTTCATATCTAATAAGGAGTAAATGTTGGAAGACAACTTCTCTTCCCATATTGGCTGTGGCTGATGGGAGCTTTAATCGAGCTAGCTGGATATCACCAAGTTACTAGCACCTCTACCTGAAAGAGAGCTAAGCCAGACAGTGCTTGTAAAAACATGATTGGGTTTATCTGAAAATCTACTTAAATTAAGGACTGAATTATAAGAGTTTTTCTGTCCTATGTGGTTTTCATTGAGTCCATACAAGCTGTACCATTTTATGAAGAGCCGATAAACTCTTTTTCTTTAATGTACTGTAACTTGTTTGGCACTAGGGGGCCTGCATAACCCATGTTGTTTGATTTGTATTGGATGTGCAACCAAAGCCTGGAGCCTTTAGGCAAGAGTTTATAATATTTTGTATCAAACAAATCTTCCTCAAGGTGCTCAATCAATATGAAAAAGTAAGAAAGCACAATAGATAACAGATATGCAGATATGCAAACTAGTCAGATGTAAATGTTAGGTATGAACCCAAATCTCCTGCATTCTTACTCCAGAAAAAGTGGTGCAATTTTTCAGGAAAGTGTGCATTAAAAATGATTCTGTTTAACAAATCTTGTGATTATAGATTATGCAAGAGAAATATTAGGATAATATTACTAAAATAAATAACCATGGTGATGCATCCGTAACTGGTGACTAGTTAAATTAACTCAAGTGGAAAAAAAGCAAAAGGTGTTAAGATGTGATTTCCTTAATTCTAAAATCTGTAAATATGTGGAGGAACTGCTATGACGAGTTAATGTAGTAGGGAATAATATATCTTCCAGCAGGATCATCTGCGGAGGTGGTCAAAAACATCAAGATTGTGCCCAGGCCTACACGTTTGTAGCCCTGCCCCATTTTTTACATGTGAGATAGAACTTCAATCGCATGGTTACAGTCAGCTTGAGTTTTTTGACACACATATTCCCCAATTTAGCATCTGATTGCAAAAATGAGATTGTCAGACTTTTGGTTCTAGACGGTCTCAGCGTCTTATAAACTATCTTTGTAAGCTATATTCAGTATTTAAATATTACAATAATAATTATGTATATATGGTACATCACTAAATACAAATGGTTTTAATTTTGAATTTATTGTTTAATTTCACATACCTTTTTGGATAGTTGTCTTCTCTTAGTTTTACTACAGGCTTTTGTAGTAAATTATAATCCAGATGTAAAATCTATCTGAGAAAGGAAAATTAAAATTTCAAAGTGAGGTAATTTTGCATTGGATTTCACTGCTAAAAAAACTAATTAAGATCGGGAAAATCTCTTCTACCTCATTAAACATCTGACAAGATGAATTTTGTGACACTTGTTGCCAGTCTTCCTTTCATTTATTTTTGCTTTTCTTTTTAAAGAATCACTTGGCAATCAGTTGGCAAGAGCAATAGTCTTTTTAATCACTGCCAATGTTCACTCAAAAGCCCCCACATATGCTGGCACAAGTTCAAACAATACAGCCAGGGAAGTTTACACTATTCTCAAGGCAAGACAGATAACAAGAAAATGTAAAGAGTCCTTTTAACTCTCAGCTTGCCTACGAACTGCTAACTGCAAACTACAGACTGCAAGAAGAGATCAGGAATGTAGTCTGTGGTCGTGAATCAGGAAACAAACTGGTCCGGAATACAAAGTGTCCAGGTTAAAAGAGCACAAGTCAAAACAATCTCAAGATCCCACGTTTCTTCCCGGCAAATGCCCCACCCCACAACGTCTCCTTAAATCCTAATCCCCAGGTATGCCTTGTGGAGTGGGGTGGGGAGCTCTCCTCCCGAGCAAGTGAGCCTGCCTCTGTTGTTCTCTCCTCTTCTCTGCTCTCCTTGCTCTAGGATCTAGCCACAGACACCTCCTCCTGGCCTCAACAGGGAACTCCATGTCTTACTTGGAGTCAGGTTCGAATGGAGGCATGACACTTCCTCCATTGACTTTGCTTATCAAAAGCTGGCCTGGAAGGTTGCAAATGGTGATCACGTGATTTTGCCCCAATTTTGATCACACAACTATCAGAATGCTGCCAAAGTTGTAAATGTGAGGATTGATTATAAGTGGTTTTTCCCAGTGCTGTTGTAAGTTCAAACAGTTGCTAAAAAACCGTTGTAAGTTGAGGACCACCTGTATACAAAGTTCAAGGCTTCTGCCCTACCCCAATTTTGCCTGAAACAAAGTAAGAGGAATAATTTTCCTATTAGTCATTAGAATTTAATTGGCTTATATACTTCTAGAATGTGATGTTGTGTAATATTTCACACAGATTAACAGTTTTAAGTTGCTTTTTCACTGAATGTGATTTTCTGTTCCAGATTGTGAGCATTACATGCCAGGGAGCTTATATGATGAGCATTGTTGTACTTTCAAGTTTAGAATTCAGGATCATTTTTGCTCATGTGAGGATTCTATAATTTATTTTATTTATAATTTACATGTGTAAGGCTGCCAACTCACTACAGCTCAGAACAATGTACAAATAAAAACAAAACCCAGTAATTAAACCAATAACAAATTAGAAGATGGTGATAGTTGGGAGAGGGGCAGGTAGAAACAGTTATATTATAATCGTGCTGACCCTAATCCTGTTCAGCCCAAACTAACATAGAACCTGAAGAAAATAGCTACACCAAAGGATGCTAATAAAATCTGTGCTATTCTTTTTACTTATTGCCTTTGGCTTTTATTTCCCACCTTCCCATACATACTTAAAAATAAAACAAAGACTGCAGGCTATTTCCTCTTGCTTATTCATTGCACAGTTGGACAACTGCACAAATCTACAGCATGAATGTTTTATGCATTACAAGTCTTAGCTTTCTTATTACTGTTTATAAATGTACACCTGAAATATTAAATAATTCCATTCTCTCTAAAGATGAAGACAATAGGGCTCCCACTATGCTATTTGAATAATATCACAGTTATTCCCATGTCTCATACAGAGAAAATTGATGTTAAATACTGGAATGGACTGAATTACTTAAGAACATTGCCCATAATTATTGCAAACAAAAAATGAATAAAATAGAGATGAGAATGTATAGGAAATTATTTTGATGCCATCCGGAACCCCCTTTACTAAGATGCAATTCCTGCCATTTCAATGACAACACAATATCCCAAATGAAGTCAACAAAATTACACCCAACAATCTACTGGTAGATCTTGTGTCCCCAATACTATACAAAAGGACAATGATGTCTCAGTAGCGTGTTCTATTATGTTTACATTTTTTGTTTTAATCATGCTTTTAATTTAAAAGGCGATAGGACTTAATTGCAAATACAAATTGCCTTTCCAAATATGATTCTGAGTTTGAAATAGACTGCAGAGCCTTTTTTAGAAAATAAAATGATGGCTTGTTGTACACAGTCCAGTAGTTTGCTTTCCCAATTATGAATATTTTGTGGTCTAGTAGTTAAGGTGAGGATAGGTGAGGAACCAAGAGATTATAGTTCTAAATCCAACCTTAGGTATGAAAGCTGACTGGGTGATTTTGGGCCAGTCACTCTCTCTCAGCCCAACCCACTTCCCAGGGTTGTTGTGGGAAAAATAGGAAGGAGTATTAGGTATGTTTGCCACCTTGAGTTATTTATAAAATAAAATGGGATTAAACAAACAAACAAACATAAATAAATAAATAAATTTAAATGTGCTCATTGACCCACAATATTCTGCATACTTGGTCTAAGAGTGGTTTCTCTTCATGGTGTACAGTATGGACAACTCACAAGAAATGGAAGCAGTCTCTAAAGGGTATATCAAACTAAAATATAATTTTAAATGGCCAAAATATCGGGATATCACAAATTGGCCCATGAGTTTAATATGCTCACCTAAAGTTTTGCTAGATTTCTAATGACTACACAAGTACCTTATGAAATTTGGAGTCCCGTGAAATTCTGATCATTTTTTAACATTCACTTTTAACTTTGGAATGAGGTGGAACCACATGAAGAATGCAACAATCCTATCTCTGGTTTATACAGTGGTCCTAAAAAGACTTTAATGACAAAGTAGCAGTCTGAAAAAATTAAAGATTGGAAAGTACTGTTCAAAACTGTGATGTCAAGGTGTAGTTAAGGTGCCCATATATGGAATGCAAAATTCCAAATAATCATTACATGAGATGAAAGAATTAAAATGAATACAAAAAAAAAGGCGACCATCTCTCCAATAATTACTCTGCAACTATGGCTTTATGTTTACTCATTGGTTCACACCCTTGAGGTTATAGTAAAGGCCCCAGAGACTACAACATAAATTCATACTACCATATCTTTAGGGATTCCTTTTTGGCTTGATACAGGATATGCAGAATAGAGTAAGAGTCTTACTCCAGTTACTGCAGATGAAAAGAATCAAACTGAAACATCAGGAGACTCTGCAGTTCAGTTAAAGAGAGTCACAAACTCTGTTTTCCCTAGTAATTATGTTTTCTAGAAGTGCTAAAGCATTTGAAGTGATGCTTCACAATTCTTCTACATATAAAAACAATAATGCTAGTGAAGGTGCTAGATCAGTGGTTCTC